TAATTTGATACTAATATCGATATATTTTTATCAAATTTTTATGATATCGTCAAACATATATTTTATTCAAAAGTAAAAACATAATCGCTTTCTCAAAATCACATAAAGCCATATTATAACATTGACTGAGATAAAGAATAAAATAAAATATTAAAAACACTATATATCTCGTTGCATTATGCGAATACGCTTTTTAGTATAATATAAAAGTGATTGATGGTATATGTGTTACGGAGAAGGTTGGAATGAGAGGAGAGAAGCAGTGCAGAAGATGATGAGTAGATAAGCGAAGGGATGGCGTGGTGTGGATATTTTTGAGGTCATAAAAAGTCGTCCTTTTAATATTCATTCCTCTTTATCCGCTTTCTGTTTCTCTTTTTCATTGTCATTCTTTTTTCTCTTTATAATTTCACAAATACAATTATAATGCTTATTAGAGGCTTAACAAATAAGCATCTTCAATGGACTCATTAACATCATCCATATATTAACTTATATCCGCTTTATTTTGTGGATCCTATATAAAATGATATATAAATCATAATTTATGTATATATATATATATATATAAAGAGGGGGTTCATTTGAGAAGTGGTAAGTATTTGAGAAGCAAATAAGTGATCCTAGTCATTCATACTGTCAAACGAGAAATATGCACTTGTTTTGTCGTCTATTCGTAAAAATTATAAGACTACCCATTTATTTTTCACATATATATATCATGCCAAGAATTATCTAATGTCTCACGGTCAAAGCCGCAAATCTTAACCAAATAAAGGGATATGATCACTTCTCTACTTGTCAAATATCCGGCCTTTTCTTACACTTGAAAATAAACCTACGTCACCCAACCCACAATTACCATATTTGTTATCGCCTCACAACCTTTTGTTTTTTCGAATTCCGTTACAATGTACTCATTTTCTTGTTACAATATATTCATAAATAAATCATATCATGATTCAATATCCTTTTTCTTTTTATTATATAAATAAATATAATATAATACAATACAACTAATTTGCCCTTGCTCTAAAATTTCGACATGACAATATTATAAAGCATTAGCTACATATTACTAATTAACTAGTCTTGCTTTTAGTGCCTTGGTTATTTCGGTGGATGTGGTTCGTTCCCACTCGAACGTGTACTTGTTTTGCTTTTAGTGTTTTTTCTTGATCTGGAGGGGTCTTCTCTATTCCTATCAAAAAAATTAACTGGAAGAGCACTCGCATAATGCAACCGGATACATCTCGATTTTAAAGTCGTCTTATTTTTTGTTTCTGTTGATTTATAAAATAGTCTTATATGGTTTTGGAAAAACGATAATGTTTTCATTTTTGAATAAATTATAAACTTGAATATATCTTAAAATTTTGAAAAAATATATATAAATATTAATATCAAATTAACTGTTTAAATTATAATTTCTTTAGTACGATTTTCTTACTATAATTTAATTTAGACTTAATAATGAAGTAATTTATTTTTGCTTTAATAATACAAGTTTTTATAAAAACAATAATCAAATATTTATGTTATAACTCAATGATTATCCTAATTATATTTAAGTATTTTTATATCTAAACTCAGATGTTTATGCTTATTAGATTATGTTTATTTGCTGTTTGGTTACATAAATTCGAACATGAAGCTTTAATAAGTTGTACTTACGTACAATTTAATTGTAATCTTGAATTTTAAGTAATATGCATCAATAAACAATACTTTATGCATAAAAATGATTTTAAGAGTTTTTATCAAATGTTTTACAATAGAGTATACATTATGTGTTATAGGTTCTTGAATTTCTGGAAAAAAAAAGCATGAAACGATGCCCTACATTGGTAGAGGAGTTATTCAATGTATTTAAAAGAAGTCTAAGTTAGCGTTTGGTTCGCAGATTCTGGAGGAATCTAATGGAATTAGAATGCTGAATTCCATTGACCAAATTCCATTATCTCGTTTGGTTCATTCTTTTTCACAAAAGAAATCTTCAAAATCCTACAAATTCCACAAATAAAGGAATTTAACATTGCTTAGCAACTACATGGTATTTTGATGAAATGAAATATTTATCTTCATTATACCAAATATGTTCTTAACCTAATATACTATAATCTCATAAAACTCAATATGACCATCGTAGACCACCTTTCGACCATTATTGATCTAAACCACCACCGCCGATCACTATCACCGACTACCACCGGTCT